CAAGTGTCCTCCTCCATGCCCATCCCCCCTCCCCCCCACATCCATCAGTCCTTAGTTTTTGTCAGCATTCAAGAGTCTCTCATGGTTTGCCTCTCTCCCTTTCCTCCACCATTTCCGCCCTTCTTCTCCCCCTTGTTCCTCCGTCAAGTTCCTCCTAATCCTCCTGTACGTGCAAACATATGATATTTGCCCTTCTCTGCCTGACTTATTTCGCTCAGCATAACACCCTCAAGGTCCATCCATGTTGCTACACATGGCCATCATCTGTCTTTCTTAATGTCTTCATATGAGTGAAGTCATAGATTTGTCTTTCTCTGACGAATTTCGCTTACCATGATTCCCTCTAGTTCCATCCACGAAGTTACAAATGGCAAGATTTCATTCGTTTTGCTTGCCGAGTAATACTCCATTGTATATACCACATCTTCTTTATCCATTCATCCATCAGTGAACATTTGGGCTCTTTCCATACTTCGGCTCTTGTTGATAGTGCTGCAATCAACATTGGGGTGCATGTGCCCCTTGGAAACAGCATACCAGTATCCCTTGGATACTGAGGAACCCCCATACTGTTATCCAGAGGGGTGGCACCAGTTTGCATTCCCACTGTTGGTGGGTTTTCAGGAGGAGAAGGTCTGTGCTATGGCTGACACGGGCTGGCACGCCCGGCGGCACCATGAGTCCACCCCACGGCACCTGCTCCAGATTCCCTGCTTTCTCCCTTATGCTCAGGTACTTTGGGGGGCTCTAGAAATGCAAAAGGAATGAAGACCTTTGGGGTGACTGCTGGCAGGCGGCCGTGTTCTGCCCCATCATAAACTGGACAGGAAGCTAAGAGTCTTCTTCTGAGAGTATTAAAATGTCTATTGACCAAAGCAGGCTTCATCTAAAGCTATCGATTAAACACAGCTATTGCACTAGGCCAGAGCTGGGACTAGGACCGTGCAGGGGGTGGCCCAAACCCAGTTTGCAGTTCCCACGGTCCCAGAAGACTCCACTGTGTCAAGAGCAGAGTTCGGTGGGCGAAGCCGTGAGCCGTCCTCAGGAATGTCACTCAGGCAACTTCACCTGACATCACCAGGTACCGAGAGCTTCCGTGGCTGAAGGTGGACACACAGCCTCCTAATGTCTGGAGCCTGAAGCTGCCGGAGGCAAGAGCCAGGAAAGCTGCTACAGAAGATGCCCGGAGGCCAGGCCTGGGGCCACCTGCTTGCTGGGCTTCCCCTCAGAAAGCTCTTCCTCCCTCTTGCCCACTTCGTTCCTTCAAGATTTATTGAGCACTTGCTCTACACTGGGTTCCGGAACAACAGAGATAAACAAAACACTCTCAGAGAGAAATAAGACTGTTCTAATTCTAAAGACAAGAAAAATAAAAATGAAAAAGATGGAACAGTTCCTGAGCTGTGTTTGCCAGGCCCTAGGTGTTCAGTCAGGCCATCCTCCCAGCAGCCCTCAAAGGGATGCAAAGTGTTGAGGTGGGGGGATTGTCCAGACGGGCTTTTCTGAGGTAGCAGTAATTGGGGGGTGGGGGAGCAGGGGGTAAGCAGGGGGCAGAAAGACACAGCAAGTGCGCAGGCGCAGACGTGGATGTGTTGAGTGTGCGCGTCCGGAGGGCAGGGAGCCGGGTGGGAAGGGTGGCGCGGGTGCAGGGCTTCAGAGGCGGGCTTCTGCAGATGAGGAAGAATCGGGGGAATATGGGGAGGGCCTGCAGGGGGTGCTCCTGGATCCCGACAGAGGCAAGGCCGGGTCAGAGGGCTTTCCACTGCGGGGCTGTCGCGCCTTCGGTGGCTCTTGCCCAGGCACAGGGCAGGGTCACCTTCAGGCCTGTCTGTGGGACGGTGTGGCTGGCGCCTCACGTGCTGTGTGTTGGGTCTCCATTCATCGTCGTCGCTGGAGTCAGCGGCTCCCTGTGTTCTGCTCCGAGGGGCCCAGGTCCCAGCCAGCCTTCCCGTGGTGTTGTCCGGGCAGGACTCTTGTGATCCATTTCAGATCTTCAGCATGGCCAGTCCCAGCCCTTGAAAGTCCTGCACACCTCAGACTCAGCATCCAGAGGGAGCCCTGAATCTGCCCATCTTCTTGGTCGTGCAATTGTTCACCTCAAATGGCAGGTTGGGAAACTTGGACATTAGGGAGCATGAGAGCTACAGTAAGTATTAAAGGGCTTTCCATCATTTATTTAGAATAAAAATGTCATGCATCGTTCTAAAACCGCCTGAACCACTACTGGGTTAGAATCAGATAAATCTGGGATTCAGACTCTAGCTTGGCCGTGGGTGGCTTTGGACAGACATTCAACTTCCCTGAACCTCTATTTCTTCATCCATATGTGAGGACAGAACAACATGTGTGATGTACGCACAGAGCCTAGCCTACAACAGGTGCTGGGTAAAGGGTGGCTGTTCTTACATTTTCACCTCAACTAAATCACTCTGTGGAAATAACGATGTGTGAAAACTGTCAGCTGATCCACATGACCCAACACTGGAAAAAATGTTAGCATTGAAAAGTAGTGAGCTTTCACTCATAAACATTCTTTTACAGACACCCTAGAAGGCATTTGGGGTGAAATAGATTCATTAAAGACTGCAACAGGTCAAGGGGAAGGGAGGCACTAATAAGAAAGCATTTTGCAACCCGTGAGTGAAGAGATAAGGATCATTTGTGTAATTATTCAACCTCACCAGGAATCAGATTATACTATTCAACTAACAGACTTTTTCTTTCCCTCTCTCTCCCTCCCTCCCTCCTTCCCTCCCTTCCCTTCTTCCTTCTCCCCTCCCCCTCCTTTGCCTCTTTCCCTTTCTCTTGCCCTCCCTCCCTTCCCCTTCTTTCCTTCCTTCCTCCTTCCTTCCTTCCTTCCCTCTTTCTTCTTTCTCACTAAGCAAAGCCAGGATGACACGGATACTATGAACTAGGTACACTTATAAATGGCTAGCCATTGTCTAAAAGTACACCTTTGTTTTTTCCTTTCTTCCTTTCTCCCCTCCCTCCTTTCCTTCCTGTTTAATTTTTTGTTATTATTTATTTTTGAGAGAGAGAAAGGGAGAGAGAGCAGGGGAGGGGCAGAGAAGGAGACAGAAGATCTGAAGCAGGCTCCATGCTGTCAACGCAAAGCCCCACATGGGGCTCAAACCCACAACGTGAGCTCATGACCTGAGCTGAAGTGGGGCGCTCAACCAGCTGAGCCACTCAGGCGCCCCATCCTGCTTTAGTGTTTATGATGGAAAATGTAAGCACGTACAGAAGTGGGAAAAGTAGGATGATGGACTTCCATGCACCCATCACCAGCTACAGTTTTTATTTTGTCACCGATCTTGTTTTATTTATTCCCTTGTTCCAGTAACACTTTTGCTACAGCATTTTAAAGTAAATTTCAGGGACGCCTGGGCGGGTCAATCAGTTAAGCCTCCGACTTTAGCTCAGGTCATGATCTCCCGGCTGGTGAGTTCGAGCTCCACATATGTGAATTTGAGCCCCACATCAGGCTCCATGCTGACAGCTCAGAGCCTAGAGCCTGCTTCGGATTCTGTGTCTCCCTCTCTTTCTGCCTCTCTTTTTGTTTTGTGGCAAAAATGGACAGTCATCCACCCAAATACACCCTCTCCTTCTATTCTACTAACTTCTCATTTTTTACGGGGCACATGGCCACCCAGGGTGAAGGTGTATTTCCCAGCCTTCCTTGCAGTTTGGTGGGACCATGTGGCTCGGCTCTGGCCAAGAGGACAGGACTGGAAGTAAAGAATATCATTTCTGCACTGTGCCCCTAAAAGTGAATACCGCTGTATTCTTCGGGTTTTTTCTTGCTTTCTGCTAACAGAAAAATGTCAATAACTCAATGAGTCACCGTCTTAGCTTGGGCTACGGTAACAAAATATCACAGGCCAGGGTGGGGGAGAAGGGGGCTCCAACAACAGAAATCTATTTTTTCACAGCTCTGAAGGCTGGAAGTCCAAGATCAAGGTCTGGCAGAGTTTGCTCTCTGATGAGGCTTCTCTTCCCAGCATGCAGACGGCTACCTCCCCCACTGTGTCCTCACAGAGTGTTTACTTACTCTGTGTGTGTGTGTTTGTGTGTGTGGTGTGCAGAGAGAGTGAGCTCTCTTTCTCTTCCTATTTTTATTTTTTATTTTTTTAGTGTTTATTTATTATTGAGAGACAAAGAGAGACAGAGCATGAGCAGGGGAGGGGCAGAGAGAGGAAGACACAGAATCCGAAGCAGGCTTCAGGCTTCAGGCTCCAAGCTGTCAGCACAGAGCCCGATGCGGGGCTCGAACTCATGAACCATGAGATCATGACCTGAGCCGAAGTCAGATGCTTAACTGATTGAGCCACCCAGGCAACCCCCTCTTCCTCTTTTTAGAAAGCCACCAATCCTATCAAAATAGGGTCCCACCCTTATGTCTTCATTTAACCTTAATTACCTCGTAAAGGCCCGGTCTCCAAATATAGTTACATCAAGGGCTAAGTTCTCAACCTATGAATTTTGAGGTGCGGGTGACACAACTTAATCTATGGCACTCACCTTTGACCCAGTGATGAAGCCCTGCCCACCGTGCCTACCTCTGAACTGTTAGATGTGAGAAACTGGTATGTTGTTCAAGCCACTGCATCTGGTTCTTTGTTCAGCAGCTTCACCTACTTCCTGACTCATACATGTGTATGTTTACCAAAGTGCCACCGAGCAAGAGGGAAAGTGTAAAATGATGCCCTTGAAAGGTTACTGTTGATCGCTCCAGAGTGGGACCAGTTTGCAATCACACTCAACATTCAGACAACTATGGGGAACATGATGTTTCCCATTTTGTAAGTAAATGTCTATAACAGCAAGAATCTTCACAGCAGGACTTACTTGTAATGAGACCTCACACAGATTCCAGCCTCCATATACTCCGGTTTTCCTTCTCTCTCTCATCCTCCCCTCCTTCCCTCATCCTTTCTTCCTCCTGTGGGTGAGCAGCAGGGCTGCTGCCCCAGGGCAGACAGGGCGCAAAGTAGAACAGCTAGTCCCAGGGCTCCTGGAACACCTTCCAGCGCTTTATTTTCACTTCTCCTGTCCATTCCCCAAGGGCAGGGCGGGGATTTCCTGGTGGAAGGGAGGGTTTCCACAGGGCCCCGGCAGGAGCTCTCACGCTGCCTACTGGTAAAATGGCATCAAGGGCCCCCATCGGTTCAAGATGGGGAACTTGACTTCGTGGTGATAAGGACAGAGGCAGCCAGGCAGTAGTAAGTAGCCTTTGCCCTCCTCGGCAGCAGGCTGGCGCTCGGGCTCCAGGAGGCACGGAAAGTGGGCGCTCTGGCGGACGCGGTTGGGATCGCCCTGGGCCAGGTGCAGAGCGTGAGAGACCGGGTACACGGAGTGGCAGACGCTGCTGAACCTGCGTTCGCCGTCTGCTGTGGTCTCTCGGCCCTGGTCTTGCGGTGGGAAGAAACCTGGGAGCCCCAGGTCCCGGGCAGTCATGGGAGGTTTTTTGAAGGCGGGGTATCCATCCTCTAGCTTGGGATGGGAGCTGGGGACAGGCCTGTAAAACTCTTTGTCCCGGAGTTGGGCATCCAGCTTCACTTGCTGTGGAAATAAATCACACACGATCGAAGAGCTGAGCCATCTGAGAGGTGGAGCTTCCTTGGTTTCATTCTACACAGAACACACTTCTCTTTATTTAAAAAAAAATTGGGGGTGCCTGGGTGGCTCAGTCGGTTGAGTGTCCTACTCTTGATTTTGGCTTGCGTCATGATCCCAAGGTCGTGGGATCGAGCCCTATGCTCAATGTGGAGCCTACTTAAGATTTTCTCTCTTTCCCTCTGCCCTTCTTTCTCCCCTACTCATGCTCTCTCTCTCTCTTAAAAATTAAATTAGTTTTTGAATGGTAATGTATACAATCGAGGGAAATACAGTTTTTTATTTATTAAAAAATCTTTTTAATGTTTTATTTATTTTTAAGAGAGAGTGCAAGCAGGGGAGAGGCAAGGAGGGGGGTGGACAGAGGATCCAAAGCAGGCTCTGAGCTAACAACAGCAAGCCCAATGTGGGGTTTGAACTCATGAACCTCTAGATCATGACAGGAGCAGAAGTCAGAGGCTCAACTGACTGAGCTGCTCAGGTGCCCCTCTTTTTTTTTTTTTTTTTAATGTTATTTATTTATTTATTTTTGAGAGAGAGAGAGAGCAGGGGAGGGGGCAGAGAGAGAGGGAGACGGAATCCCAAGCAGGTTCTACTCTGTCAGCACAGAGACGGACTCAGGGCTCAAACTCAACAAACCGTGAGATCATGACCTGAGCTGAAGTCGGGTGCTTAACTGACTGAGCCACTCAGGTGCCCCGGTGTATCCTTTTCAATATAGTTTATATAGTTTATGTACATATAAACATATAATGAAGCTTCACACCCCCCTGGTTTGTACACAAATGCACATTATAATCCCACTCTGCGCTTTGTTTCCACCAAATACTGTATCCTAGAAACTGTCCCATCTTTGTTTGTATAAATCTTCTTATTTTAGGGGAGATACCTTGAGATAGGAAAGGATTTCTTTTTTTTTTTTTTTTTTTATTTCTGAGAGAGAGACAGCATGAGAAGGGGAGGGTCAGAGAGAGAGGGAGACACAGAATCTGAAACAGGCTCTGAGCTAGCTGTCAGCACAGAGCCTGACGTGGGGCCCGAACCCACAAACCGCGAGATCATGACCTGAGCCGAAGTCGGAAGTTCAACCGACTGAGCCACTCAGGCGCCCCAGGAAAGGATTTCTTAAACAAGACTTACAAAGAGCAGATGATACAGGGCAAGATGCCTACCTCTGACTATATTAAAGTAAGACTTGCGATTCACTGAGAGGAGGTTAAAAGACAAACCACAGCCTGTGAAGTTTTGCCACTTATATAACTAACGAATGAAACATGTCTAGAATATTTAAAGAACTCCTACAAATTAATAAGAAAAAGACAAACATCCCAATTTTAAAAAATGGGCAAAAGACAGGACAGACATCTCAGAATAATAAATATCCAGAAACATATAATCACGAGAAAATATTACTTCAAACCCACCAAATTAGCCAAAATCTGAAAGTCTATCAATACCAAGTTGATGGCAAGGCAGGACCGCTACAGAACTGACTGACTCTGCTGTTGTGTCAATGCAATGACTTTGGCAAATAGCGATGTTACCTGTGACCAGCAATGGGGTGGTGGACACATTAGGCTGCAGCACTGGGCAGTGAGGAGGGTAACGAGAACACAAAAACCCAGATGTCCAACAGGACCTACACGGTGGCACATTCATGCAGTGTAATGCCACACAGCAGGAATGAGTAATATATTATATAAAATATAACGTTCAGCAAAAGATAAAAGTCACAGAAGAGTATGAATAGTATGATCCAATGTAGAATAAAAGCTCAAAAGGCAAACCTAAACAATTTGTTTAAAGGGACACATACGTATAGAGTAAACCTATTTTTTTTTTTAAACACACAAGAGAGGGGCCCCTGGGTGGCTCAGTCCGTGGGGCATCCAACTCTTGATTTGGCTCAGGTCATGATCTCATGGTTTGTGAGTTCGAGCCCCTCGTCAGGTTCTACACTGACTGCGGAGCCTGCTAGGGATTCTTTCTTTCTGACTCTCTCTTTCTCTCTCTCTCTTTCAAAAATAAATAAATAAGCTTAAAAAAATAAACACACACACACACACACACACACACACACACACACACGGAAATGATTAACCCAAAATTCAGAATAGTGGGTACCTCTGGAGGTGGGAGGGGGTGGGAGCAGGGAGGCGCCCACGGGGCTCTCGGGTACTTCTAACCTGCTATGTTTTAAGCAGGCTGATAATGGGTCTGCTGGTGTTTGTTTTGTCAATGTTATTTAAACTGTAAGTGTATATTGTTTACACTCTTTTGTATCTTTGAGTTAGAGTTGGTGTACCTTTTAAAACACACACACAAGACATACACATAAAAGACTTCTTTAGGTCTCCTGGCATTGGAAGTTTTTCTAAGTAAGTGCCCCCAATATATACACCCCTAATAAAAATGAAATAAAGATCATTTCAGTCAGTCATTGAACAAAAGACAAGACTGAGTGACTTCTTACCTCTTGTGGTGTGACCCTGGAGTATTTGTGCTTCCCGTAGGGTTGATAGTCAATCATGTAAGAGCTCTGGTATATCTCTAAGTCCACAGGGGCCTAAAGGGCAAGGGAGATTACAAACCAGGAGATCCCATCTTGCCATTCTTCTATCTAAAAGCAGTTGCTGGCTTCTCATGGCCTATTGGACCAAGACCAACTTTTGGGCCTGGCATTCAGAGCCCTTCATGATCTGGCTTCTACTGACCTTTACCATCTCACCCTGCTTAGCTCCCCTCCATGCCCTCAGTACACCAGCCTCACTACTTTCTACTGTTCACAGGTACACATGGTCTTATCTCCCGCTGGAAACACCAGCTGTACTCCTCACAGACTGGCAAACTCCTACACATCCTCCAAAACCCAGATTAAATTTCTCCCCAAAACAACTATCTCACCCTTTTATTCCTCATCTTCCCCAAATTGAACTTTTTCTCCTCTGCTTTCATAGCACATTTTACATCCCTCATTACAGCACTTATCATGGTGACTTGTAATGGATTTCATGAAGTACACTAGATCAGGACCTAATCTCTGACATCTCTGCAGCCTCAAAACCCAGCGCAGGGCCTGACACAACCAGGATACCTAATAAATGCATGCTGAATAAATAAGTGAACCCTCAGAACATTGCAAATCTGTAGCTTTCCGCTATCCGGTTAAAAAAACAAGAAAAAGCCCCCATCATTTCAGAATGCTCACCCCAGGGGACCCCAAAGTGCCTGGGCCTGTTTGCTAAAGCTGCCCAACCTTGAGGTGGCCACAAGGGACAGACAGAGAGCCACAACACTCACCTGTCTGGGGTACACCACACCTGCCATGGCAGATGACCTAGACACAGACAAGCTGGTTAGCTCTGCTTCTGCCCCACGTCGGGAAATAGTCAGTGTCCCCAAAGCTGTGCCATCTGAGCACGACTGCCCCAGTCCTCTTAGCCCACCCTGCACATTACTCAGTCACCCGGGGGGTTGATAGCAGCAGCAGGGACCAATGGGCAGGTGGACAGGGGTCCTGGAACAAAGGGGCAAGAGCAGGCCCCAGATGGAACATCAGATTCACCTCTCAAGCAGGGCAGGTAGCGTGCCGGTAAGTCTGTAACAACCAACTTTTTGAGGCATATAAATAAGTGTTTACCAACTTCCGGATTTCTGAATGCAAATACTCCCACCATGGCCCATTTCAAACTATCAACATAATGGTGCACTGAGGAAGCGAGCTGCGAGCCTAGGACTTACAGGTGCCCTGACTCAGAAGTACAAACCATGTTTTCTAGTGGGGATTGGGGGCGTCCAGGGGGAAGAAGTGAGGCTCTGCACTCCCTGCTGAATGACAGCAGCAGGTAGGTCCAATCCCGCCCCTCACCCCTCAGCCCCGAAGTCCCAGAGGGAGCCTCACAGCTGGAAACTGGGGAGGAACCTGAGCTCACGCTATCTTGTGTGCATGGACCCCTAGACTCTTGACTGATACTCCGTCTCATTCCCATGGAACTCTGCCCTGAGACTCACTCTGTTCAGTGGGTTGTGGCCTGGGGGGATGGTTGCCAGTCCTCAAATAGTCCCTATGTCCCCTTCTTTTTGGGCATAGATCACTCCCCTCCTGGGGCTGGGGGCTGGCTTCAGCACAAACAGCACCTACCCCTCCTTTCACCAGGGGGATGACAATGCTCCCTCCCTTCCAGCTCCAGGTGCCCCTGCTGTGTGAAGAGTCCTGTCACTGTGCCCCTCCACCACACCTGTCTTTGAGGTGAACCCTGACGTGATGCAGGCTGCTTTGATCACAGCCCCCAGCCATTGTGATGGGTGACAGGCTAACCTCCTGGGTGTCTGCCCCTGACCCCCCTCTCAGAGCAAGCCGCTGAGGTTCCAGCACACCTGAGCCAGCATGAACTCTGGCAGCGGCATTGGAAGGTATCTGGGAGGCCGGGCCTTTCTAGTACTCTCCAGTCAGTCGTTTCCGGAAGAAGGTGGTAAACAGGACCCCACATGGATTTTGACATCAGACCTTGCTGACTCAATCCGCTGCATATCATAGCCCCTCCAGGCAGGTCTCTGTTGCCTGAAAGGCTGGTTTGTCCATCCTCTGTCAAAATTTTACCCTCTTATACATCCTTGAGGATGGCTATAATCCACAAATGAAAAATAATAAGTGTTGGCAAAGATAATGGAGAAATTGGAGCCGTTGTCTGCCCCTGGTAGGAATCGTAAGATGGTGCCACCACTGTGGAAGACAATATGGCAGTTCCTCAAAAATACCATACAGTTCTGCAATTCCTCCCCTCTCAGAGCAAGCCGCTGAGGTTCCAGCACACCTGAGCCAGCATGAACTCTGGCAGCGGCATTGGAAGGTATCTCTCCCTAGATGCCTTTCATTTATCCAACCAACATTTATTGAGCACTATTTTGTGTTGGGCATTGTTCTGAACTGTGCAGATTCAACAGTGAACAATATTCTATCCCTTAGGCCACCATGATTGAGTCAGGGAGAGGCTCATGACGTAAGGTGGGCTGATGAGCATCATCCTAGCTCCTGGCAGAGTCTCTCTCTTTCAGAAACAGTGGGCACTAAGAACTGTCAGGGCCTGGAGCTGTCTGAGGCCATCTTTGCCACCAATCGAAGGGAGCCTGGTCAAAGAATAAAATTGGCAGACAAAACAAGACCCACGAGATAGAGACAGAAAGTGACTGTATCATGAGGACACCAAGCCCCTGGATGCAACCATGCTTGAAGCTTACACTACATTCGGACTTTTGCAGTTTGAGTGAGCCAATGTATTCCTTTTCCAACTAAAGTTGAGTTTAAGAAACTTACTGCTAGAGCAGTTCCAACAAATTCAAGGTTGGAGAAATAAAGTAGTTATTTCTTCAGGTATCCTTCAGGTAAAGAACTTGGTCTTAGTCACCTTTTTATCCCTCAGGGCACTGTCACTTAGCTGTAAGAATTTAAGAAGTGCTTGTGAATGTAATAAGCCTGAAGGAAATGGCAAAGAACTCGGTAAAGAACGGAATCACTGCAGAGACACAAGTGGAGGGGAAGCGGGGCCATAACAGGACACTTTTGTGCCTCAAGGATATATTTCCAGGAAAATAAAACCAAGTTGCTTTTGAAGTCCTGACTTCACATCCTGATACTTGCTCTCTTCACGCCCTTGGTTAAACCGGGTAAGTTCAATAGAAACCAGTTTGATCATCTGTGAAACAGGTATGTAATATCCACCTGAAATGAATGTAGAAGGTCGAATGGATATGTCTGTGATGGTACTTGGTTATTCAGGCCAGTGTTTACCCATATTTTCTGAGTTTCTGCTCTATGCCCGACATTGTGTAGGGCCTGTAATCAGAGCGGTGGAGTAAAACAGAAGTGGTCTCTGCCTTCATGAAGTTACAGTAGAGCGAGAGATAAATATATTCTGTAAGTGTGTCTTTAAAAACAACTGTGACAATGCCATGGAAGAGAAACTGGGTGCGGGAACCTGAGCCAGTCTTAGAGGGAAGACCTGTGACATTATAACTCAGTCCTGGGGCGGAAGGCGAATGCTCTGGCCTATGGGACGCAAGGGTGCCCGGTCTGGTGTGGAAGACAGAGACTGCTCTACCAGGATAGAGTGAGGAGACAGGTGTGCTCCAGATGAGGCTGGGGGTGGGGGGGTTTGTCCAGTGGACAAGTGGGTTTTATCCTGCAAATAATGGGAGGGACTGGAGATTTTAAGCAGAAGGGTGAAGCAACATATCAAAAAGATCACTGGTGGACAATGGCCTGGGGGGAATGTGAGGAGGGGGAGACAGGATCCAGGCGAGGAGTTTGCAGGCCACTAGCTGATGGTGGTGGCTGGGACAGATTGGAGGAGACGACAGTAATATGGAGAAGAATGGGTAGATTCAAGAGGCACTTGGGGAGTAAACTCTATAGAATTTTTTTAATGTTTATTTGTTTTGAGAGAGAGAATGTGCAGGGAGAGAGAGGGAGAGAATCCCAAGCAAGCTTCACATTCAGAGCAGAGCCCAATGCGGGGCTGCATCTCATAACCTCGAGATCACGATTTGATTTCAAGAGTTGGACATTTAACCAACTGAGTCACCCAGTCAATCCCAGACTCCATAGAATTTAATCATTATCAGGAATCGGCAGGAATAAGACAGAAGCAGGGGCAAGACAGAGGTTTCAGAGATGATTCCCAGATTTTTGGAATGGGCCATTGGGGGTGGGTCACCCTTTGGTAAGGTAGGAAATGCCAGCAGAGAAGCCAGTTCGGGGAGCAAGACAACCATATTGTATTTGTGTGGCTTCCAAGCAGAGAAAGGGGATAAATACCTGGGTAAGAGAATCTAGAGCCCCAGAAGAAAGCTCTGGACGAATGATACACTCTCTGGACTTGCTGGTGATACAGGCAGTATCTGAAGCTAACAGAGAGGATTTGCCATGTTTTGGTAGCATAGCCTCCCCCCTCCCCCACCACAGCCTTGCAGCGCGAGGTTGCCCTAAAGAGTTTTCAGGCCACCCTAGTGAAAAGGTGAAAGGGTCCATGTACTCAGTCTGTTTTTTTTGGTTTCTGGCATTTGCCACTTTTACTGTGGTCAAGTTTCTGCAGAATCTCTGTGCTTCAGAGTTCATGCAGCAATGTCAATGCTTTAACCTACAGGCGCAGAGCCGAGGCCTCAGCTGGGCCACCCCATGGCCACACATCGTGGGCAGGTTCCCTCTGAGAGCATTAGAGCTCCCATTTCTTCACTGAGGATGGAAACGCAGAGACTCCCTCCTCCGTCTATGCTACTCGACAGCCATGACCTTTTGTAAGCTCACACGGAAGCACTGCAAATTCACCATGTACCAATGTTAAGGTTTCCGTGGTGTGAACCCTGTTATTTTTCTGAAGCAGCACAGGTAAGTTTCTCATAGTTTTTGCTGTCTCCTTCAGCAGCATGCAAGTGAGATCTTTTCAAGATTGGTAAGGGATGAAAAATAAATCTTCTTTTCTTTTTTTAAAGCCTAAATACCTTGGGGTCACATCATATAGAGTAAGTCAACTATGTGGCACACTAGAAACTAACATGAGTGTGTTTCTAAAAACAGGGTTAGGGTGAAGTAAATGTTTAAAAGCACACACAAAGATGTTGTGTGGATGGCTGTCAATAAGCAGTATACACAAAGCACAGGGCACACGGAACGCTCTCAATGAGATCCTCCTCTCCTTCCTTCGGTGAGAACATTCACCTCCCTATCTTCATTTCCTTTTTGATAAAATACGTATGCACACGGTTGGATGACGAAACTAAAGGAGAAAAATAGGTACAGTGCGTTGGCATCTGGCTTGGTATGCTGTAGGAGCCTAATTATTGTAACGTTCATTCATTTGAGAGAATCGGTTTGGCTCTTTCTGGAAGGAAAGCTGGGCCCCAAGTTTCTGCCTATGCAAATTCAGCATGTTAATATTGTTAAATCACAGGAGGAAATTCTTTTCCCAAACCAGAAGCCTTCGAGTTCCTCCAGGCTTATATTAAAGGGATTACAATCCATTTCCTTCCTAATACGGCTAATGCGCTATGGGAAGCCCTCAGGCCAGGGATTAAAGCATTTACGCCTTTAATTAGGAGCAAACCTTCCCTTAGAGCCTGAAACACAAACAGCAAGTCGACACTACAAAGGCCTCCTCCCAGAGCAATGGGGATACCGATCCCTCCCCAGGAGCCAGGAGCCTCCAAAGGGCTTAGCGGACGCCCGCCTTTCCCAAACAGGGTGCCTCAGCTAGGAGGGCCCTCAGCAGAAATGGACACCCCTTCATGTGAAGAACAAACAAACAAACAAAAACAGATCCTGTGCAGTTAATCAGAATCAGCGCCTACTCCCCAGCTCAGGGGGCCCAGCGGAAGTACCACATTTTCTGGAGGGGGCCGGACACTAGATCGTGTCAGTTTCGTTGGCCTAGATTTCCCCCGGGACGCACACAAATGGGTCATTAGCTTTCAAGTGGACAACTCTGAAAATTAAGTCGTGTTAGTGCTTCAGAGAGGTCTGTTCCCACACAGATGCCTTCACCGGCCCCCAACACAGGGTCTGTCAACGTTTTCCATTCTAGGTTCAGAGCAACTAGCCAGGTCACATACGGCAGACTTCCTCCAAGGGCAGCCCAGTGACCACCTGCTTCAGAGTTCCCTGGATATATGTTAACACCTAGATTTCTGCTCCCACCTTCTGTGGCAGAATCTTTGGGAGTAGGAGCCAAGCCCAGAATCTACCTTTTAACAAGCCGCACTGGAGATTTTTATGATTCTTTATAATGTTTTCTTTTATAAGTTTATTTATTTATTTTGAGAGAGAGAGAGACAGAGCATGCATGGGAGGAACAGAGAGAGAGAGAAAGAGAGAGAGAATCCCAGGCAGGCTCTGCGCTGCACCATGTGGGGTTTGAACTCACGAAGTGTGAGATCATGACCTGAGCCGAAACTAAAAGTAGGATGCCCAGCCGACTGAGCCACCCAGGTGCCCCAGAGATTCTTATGATTCTTATACTCAACAACAAGAAGACTAGGGCCGGGCCACCCCTAGCTTTTCATAGAGGGAGGTGAGGACCAGGCTCTTTCAGGGACTTGTATTCAGTGCAGAGAGCCAACAGGGCCCAGCCTGGGGTGCATGCAGGATGGTAGAGGTGCACAGTATGTGCGAATCAATACACAAAAAGCCAGTGAAATTGTTAAACTCGTATAAGAACTTGGGGTCTGCTGCTTCATCTGTTCAGCAACTCCTGGCTGCCTTAGGCGGGCCGTGTGTACCCCGGGGCAGAGGGTGGGGAGAAGGAGGAAGGGGGCATTGTCACGTGATAATAAGAGATGGAAAACACAGGTTTCCACCCTCTAGAATTTTACAAACTGGTGAGAGGGAGGAGGGGGAAGTGCCCAAAGGTAGGGTGGGCAAGCACAGGTAAGGGGTGGGGAAGGGAGGGCCATCTGGTATTGAGAGGGGACGACACAAATGGAGGAGAAGATGTGAGGATATCAAGTCTTAAATGAAGAGCCTCCTTTTGTCCAAATCCGGCCCATCTCTGAAGGTTCAGGCAACTTTTGACCTCTGGTGGGAGCCCCTTCCTGCCCACTTGTGCTCACCCATACCCCTTCTCTCTGAACATTTATAGAACTCCAGCAGATATTTGTCACATAATTGATGCTATTTCCATGTCTTTATTTAGGTATGCACTTTTTTACTTCCCCAAAAGATTTGAACTGACACTTGCCTCTCCCAAGCCTGGCGGGACTAAGCTTAGAAGTGCTAGACCCTTAGAAGTGCTAGAACAGTGTTCTTTTTGAGAGTCAGATGATTTTGCATTTGAATCCAGCTCTGTCACTTACAAACTATGTGTCTTTGGAGAAGTTCCTTATGCTATCTTCTTGGTATCCTTCTCAAGTGGTAAAATGGGGATTAAAAACACCTACCTTGCAGGAGAATGGACTGAAATGCTGTAAATTCCCAGCTCAGCCTAATGCCTGGCCCATCGCATGTGCTCACTAAACAAGAATGAGTGTGGAGCCTGTCCCTCAACAAAACACGATGAAACGGACTTCTTAAGGAGGACCATTGTGTGGGGAGCCTGAGTGTCTCCGTTGGTTAAGTGTCCAACTTCGGCTCAGGTTATGATCTCACAGTTAGTGAGTTCGAGTCCCATGTTGAACTCTGTGCTGACGGCTTAGAGCCTGCTTTGGATTCTGTGTGTGTCTCTCTCTCTCTGCCCCTCCCCCACTCATGCTCTGTCTCTCTTTCTCAAAAATAAATAAACATTAAAAAAACGTTTTAAAGAAGACCAGGGTGGGAGAAGTGTACAGCACAGACAGGGAAGAGGAGGGCACAGAAGAAATGACAGCAACTGGAGGCGCCTGCAGTCATATAGGCACTTGAGAATTGACTGGACATTTGGTGACAATAGTAACAACAGAGCACGTCCTCTGCTGGGTTATGTCCTGTTTCACCACAATCCTTCAGTATAGATCCTCCTTACTCTCCCCATTTTGGAAATGAGGAAAATGAGGCACAGAAAAGATAAGTGACTTGCTTAGGGTCTCACACAGCCATTAAGTGACAGGCAGGATCATGGCCTGAGCTTCCTGCAGCTGGAGTTCATGTTTTCAATCCCTGAGCAGTTTGATCTCTGCACACCTGGACAGAAATAGGATGGGGTTCTAAAGAAACAAGTTATATGCTGGAATTTGGGGGATAGTCTCTATTTCAAACAATGTCTTGAATTCCCTGAGAAGGTAAAAAGGGGCCCCTGATCCAAAAGCTGGTACCCTTCCTGAGGACATGGTGTTGTCCAGTTGAACATAAACGATTTCACACAGTACTCATGTCGGATAAGACTACCGCGGTCACGATGGATCATGACAAAAACAAGGCAACAGGACATTTATGTTTGAACACACACAAACCACGAACATTGTCCAAGACACAGGAATGACCAAACACTGCCCTATCCCAGCTAAGAAGCCTCCACTGCTTCTGTAGCCTAAACATATTTCTCCTGCCCAATAGACAAGAATTCTTGTGCCCCATTACAGTCACCTGTTTCCTGAAAGGGTCCAATCCAAAGCAAAGCCCCACGTCCTTGACCCCACCCTCAAATCACCTAAAGCAAACCCCAAACCTATAATAAATAATTTTTGAAAGCATATGGGGAAGATGGTAGTATAGGAGGACCCTAGGCTTGTCCTGTCCTCAGACAAAACTAGATAACTATCAAATCATTCTAAATACCCCAGAAATAAATACTTTTTGACTCCCCATTCTTCTAATAGCTCCCCGTTATATGTCTACTCCCTCTTTGCAACTGGACATAAACCCAACTTGTTCAAGTCCAGGCAAATTCCTGATGGTCTTTGGTTGGAAGTCATTGACATCTCTTTGGAAATCCCAATGTTTCAGCATCAAAGCTGTTTCCCAGACTGCCTCTCCTGGTCAGAAGCCGAATCTTTGTCAGGCCACGCCATGGCTGGGGACTTGGAAAGGGTCACTGCTCTTATCCTTGGCTGCTTGGCTGCTTCATTTTTGTGTTTCTTTCATCTTTCCTGTAGAAAGGGGAAGAGTTCTCTATTGAAGGGAGGACGAGAATTCTATCAACACCAAAGAACTGCTAAGATTCAATACTAGAACATGAGGCCACTTTGAGCATGGTAACTGGCAGAGAGATCTCAAACTACAATTCACAATTTGTTTTATTTTATTGTTACCTCAGTAATGCTTAAAAACATTTTTATAAAATTCATCCATATTATTAGCTTCTTTCTATTCCATTACAAAATACATGCTATAGGTGAGGAACAAGGTGTCTTCATATAATAAATTTTCTCAATAAACAAAACTTACTATTTTTAAAATGACATATCAAAAAAGTAACCTGTTTAATAATTTTTAATTATTTCATATGTTTAGTAAAGGATTAAGCATTTCTCAGAATTAAAATACACCAATGACAGGGACATCTGGGTGTTCAGTTGGTTGCAAGAGCATTGACTCTTGATTTTGGCTCAGGTCATGATCTCACGGTTCATGAGATGGAGCCCCTTGTCGGGCTCTGAGCCTACTTGAGATTGTCTCCCTCCCTCTCTCTCTCTGCCCTTCCTTTCCTTCCTTTCTCTCTTTCTCTCTCTCTGTCTCAAAATAAACACTTAAAAAACCCACAAATGACCAATAAACACATCTTTGCAAATCGAAAGGAATGCAAACACACATATGTAATTTCCCATCTATCAGGACATCAAAAAAGTCTTAAATACAATCTCAAGTCCTGGTAAGAGGAAAAGAGGTACTTCCTTATACACTATTGTTGTGCATATAAACTGCCATAAATTTTTTGAAGGTGATTGAAGGTGCCTACCAAAAATTTAAATGGCTGTACCTTTTGGTGTTTGGCAATTACACTTCTAGATGTTGCCCCTTACAT